CCTTGTTAGATGCGTGGCAATAGAAGCAAAGTTATTCACAAATCGATGATAGTAGCTAGCAAGCCGCACAAAACTCCTAACTTTAGTCACAGATCTAGGACGAACCCAATTGTTAACCGCTTAAATCTTTTGGGGATCTACCATTACCCCTTTCCTTGAAACTACATGCCCCAAAAAGGCAACTGAAGTTAACCAGAACTCACACTTGGAAAATTTATCATATAATTTTTGTTTCCCAAGGACACCCAAAACTATATGAAGATGGTCGGCATGCTCTTCCTCACTTTTCGAATAAACCAAGATTTCATCAATAAAGACAATAACAAAAGAATCCAGGAATAGTTTGAACACACCTTTCATCAAACTCATGAAGGCTACAAGCGCATTGGTCAATCCAAACAACATCACTAAAAACTCATAGTACCCATAGCAGGTCCTGAATGCCGTTTTGGGTACATCCTCAGGCCTAATCTTTAACTGATGGTAACAAGACCTTAGATCAATCATAGAGAAAACTGACGCACCTTGCAACATGTCAAAGAGATCTTCAATCCGAGGCAACAAATACTTATTTCGAATGGTGACCCTATTCAACTGTTGATAGTTTATGCACATCCTCATACTACCATTCTTTTATTTAACAAACAAGACAGGAGCACCCACGGGGAAGCACTAAGACGGATGAAACCTTTATCAAGAAGCTCCTGAATTTGAGCCTTAAGCTCTCTTTATTCTACCGGAGCCATGCGATATGGAGATATGGAAATTGGGGGAGTGCCCGGTTTCAAGTCAATACAAAAATCTATATCTCTATCCGGAGTCATACCAGGAAAATCAGTATGAAACACATCTTTAAATTTAGACCCTACATGAATAGACTGAATAGAGCGAGACTCAACCTCAACATCCCGAATATGAACCAAATATGCCAAACATCCCTAGCCCACCAATTTTCTTAGCCCGAATGGAAGATATGACCTTAAATGTCTTAGGCTTGTACACCCCTTCCCACTCTAACTTTTCCCTACCCGGGATCTCTAGAGTCACAGACTTAACGTTGTAATTTAACACAGGATAATAGGGGGACAACCAAGTCATGTCTAAGATTATATCAAAGTCATTCATATCCAAGATAACCAAATCAGCCCAAGTTTGAAAACCCATAAATAAGATAGGACAAGCACGATATACATGGGTGACTATAACTGACTCTCCAACTAGGGTAAAAACATGAATAGGGGCATCAAGTACATCACAAACCATATCAAATCAAAAGGAAAACTGACCTAACATGTATAAATAGGTAGAACCCGGATCAAACAAGACATTAGCCATCCGGTCACAGACAAGAATAGTACATGTGATCACTATATCAGACGCCTCAGCCTTGGTCTTGCCCGGAAAGGCATAACACTCAGCCTTGGTCTTGCCTGGAAAGGCATAACACTCAGCCCTGCCATCATAACGGGCGACCTCCTTGCCTGGCTGCACTGATCCTCTACCTGCATTACCATTTCCCCGGCCTCCATGGCCTTGCTGATTTTCTCCTCACCCACCTTATTGATGTCTTTTACCATTATTATCATTGCCCAAGGGTACCACTGCTCTAGTCTAGTGCTGCGCGGGGTCAAACATGTGCGGGTTGGGACAATCTCTCATATGCCCATGTTCTCCACAATTATAACAAGTGCAGTCAAAAGACGGCCTGCTGCCCGCCGAAGGTGCGACTCCCTGAATATCCTAAATAATTTTTTTTGTGGAGTTCCCAAGAAACTACCTGTAGAAGCGGACAAGGCTGACTGAATTGACCAGGCTACAAGTGTCGGCCTACCTAAACCGTTGGAGTAAGAACTATGAAAGTTACATGTGCTCTTGGGCTTCTTAGCCAAAGCCTTGGTCTGCCCATCACGTCTAACTTCTTCCATTTTCTTCACAAAATCTGTCACCTCATTAGAACTTTTCCCTGTAGAGGTCATGTGAACAGACAATACCTGTAGTTTGGGGCTCAGTCCCTTGACGAATAGACGAATCCTCTCTTCCTCAGTAGTCACCAAATGCGTAGCATATCTAGACAAAGCATGGAACTTAGCCGCATAAGAAGCTACAGACATACCACCCTGCTCCAAAGCCATGAACTCATCCTTCTTGCGATCCCTCAAATTGAGGGGCACATATTTTTTCACAAACAAAGCATGAAATTGCGTCCAAGTGAGTAGGGAAGAATTGACGATCTCCATTCCACATAGGCCCTCCACCACTTCTTAGCCTCATCCTGAAGCTGGAAGGTCACAAACTCTAGTCCATCCTGATTTACAATACCCAACTTATGAAGCCTCTCATAACAATCCAAAATGAACTCATAGACATCCTTACTCTCAGAACCATGGAACACAGGCAACTTCAACTTCAAAAACTTATTCAACATCTCATGTTCATTACTGGTCATCACGGGACCTAATAAGGCACATAAGAAGGTATAAGTGTCTAACGCTCCATCTACACTGGGAATAGTAGAAGTAATGGGGCGGTTGATCGGAGGTTAAGCAATTTGCGCTGCGGGAAGGAATCCAGGGTCGAGCAACCCCTTCAGGAAAGACATGATCTACTGAGGTAAAATTGGGTCTAAGGGAGGAACACCGATATTCCCAGCCGGTGTATCCTCTTCCTTCCAATATCCCCTTTGTCCTCAATCTCCACATTCTCTTCTACATCTTCTTGAGGTGCAGGAGGGGCCTCTTCCCTTCGAACATTTTCCCTTGGGGCTCCACCCCTGGCGGGTGCCACACTTCCTTTGCCCCTTCCCCTTACTCTTCCCCTACCCCTGCTTCAACCACGGCCTCTGGCTGCAGACTTCTTAGCCTGCTAATTGACGGGAGCTACGGACCGGACATCGTTAAATCATGTGTCAACCTTTTGCGGACAGAAGAGTGAAGCAAATTAGATACCAATTTGGATCACCAAATACCAATTGGAATCAAGTTATAGCACGAAAGGAGACAAGAGAAGACATAGAGATTTCCTAAAGTCTTATAGCCTCTCGAAGAAATGTAAGATGTCTCTGTACCGTTCCGCAAGACTCTACTTGATTCATTTTGGTACACTGAGATCACGAGGCTAGGGATCTAATACCAAATTTGTCAAGACCCAAACCGTCGTGATTGGAACCCATAGTAACCCTCCGGTGGGAGAACCATTACTACAATCCAATTAAGAAATAATTGCGGAAAAACAACTCCAAGAACTTGAAAGTCAATGTACAAAAACTCTACTAACGACAAGTCTAAGAACAAGGGGTGCAACCCCAACCAAGCATAAGAAATATCTAAAGCACTAGTTAAGTTCGAAGAGAATGGACTAAACAAAAGAGAAC